GTCTAAAGACTTACCTCTTATTAAAGTATTTAAGTTAGCACTTACAAAACCAAAAAAAAAAGTATTGTCTGAGCGCTTGTCTATTACCTCCCCAACAGAGTTTTGGACTGATGATATTCCTAGTTTGTGACCTAGTGAGCCATTTTTGATAGACTTAAAAGCACTTTTGTAAGTCACTCTGGATAATGCCGTAAATGTAAATGTAAATGTCTCACTACTACACAAATAGTTCTCTTTCTAATGTCTGAAACCCTGGCCAATGCACTAAACCCTGGCGTAGCCTTGCCTGGGGAAGCAGTAACCGGGGCCCTCGATGTCAGCTTGTCAAAGTCAGCTCTGCATCAGGGGGGACAAGGAGGGTTCTGCTCCTCTAATCCCGATTCCTGTCGGGGATTTCCCTTTTGAGCAGTCATGCGACAAGACACTGAGGCATGCCTTTGGCCAAGTGAGAGTAGCTGATGGTCAACTAATCCATCCTAAATTTGTGCTATCCCACCCATACTTTTCTGTTATTAAGGATAGGTTATATTGAGAGTGACACAGGAAAAAAATCAAGGAAGAGGCAACACCATTGTTGCTATCAAAGAGCCATAGGGAACTTCTGTAACATGCAGCCCATCATAATTCCATGGCTGGGCATTCGGGGCAGGATTGGCCCATTTCTATTGGCCAGCCATTCACAGCAATGTTTGCAGGTGGTGCAGAGATCCCGAGTGACCAGGGCACATCCTTTATGTCACTCACCCTTTGCAAAATCTATGAATTATTAGGGATTAAATCGATTGCACCAGTTTTTACCATCCACTGAGGAATGGGCTGGTTGAACTGGTTAATCAAATATTTAAAATGATATATGATTCGTAAGTTCTTTCACAATGATGCTCTTAATTGGGATATGTGGCTTGACCCTCTGTTGTTTGTAGTATAAGAAATACCACAAGCCTCCCTGATTTTTTTCCATGCAAATGATTGTGTGGGCACATGTCTTGTGGCACTTCAGACGTCATTAGGGAAAATTGTTAGGATGGACCTTCTAAAAAACAAAATTCAATACGTTCTGGACCTGACAGCAAAACTCCACATATTAAGTCACCTAACACAGGAGAATTTGCATCAGGCCCAAGAATGACAGTCCCAACTGTCTGACAGGGGTACTCACCTATGGGAATTTGCACTGTAAGATAATGCGCTTGTTTTACTACCCACATCAAGCTCTAAATTACTCGAGAAGTGGCAAGGGCCCTTTGAAGTCGCATGGCGAGTCAGAGCTGTCAACAATGAGGTCAGGTGAACAGGTAGAGGTAATGTACTTCAAATATACCACCTCTGTCTCCTGAAATCATGAAGACAGTCAGGTCTTGAGAGCCTGGTGATTGTGGTTGGGACATGGACATGAGAGAAAATCGAGGCATCCCGCAGTGATTGCAGCAGCCCAGTAGTCTAGGTGTCCAAAGCCGATGGGATGGTCTATTTTTGTGTGGACTATAGGAAAGTCAAGGCGGTGTCCAAATTTGATGCATACCCAATGCCACACATTGATGAACTGCTCAATTGGGGCCCTGCTGTTTCATTCTCCTGAATTTTCTCTCATGTTTTTCTGCTGGCTGATGTGTTGGGCAAAAGCCTGGGGCCCATTTTGTCCCAGGTGGTGGAGGGGGAGCAGCACCCAGCCTGTTCGAGGACTGTCTAGCCATCAAGTGGGCAGTCCCCACCCTCTGGGTTGTCCTTTTACCCTTTGTCCCAATCACACCCCATGCCAATGGCTCCACTGCATAAAAAATGCCATACGTGGATCACTCGTTGGTATCCAGCCAAGAATTTGGCCTTCCTCCCGAGTCTTCCTCTGCATCCTCACACACCAGATTCTACAATTTCAAAGAGGATTGTTTATATAAAAATGCATAATTTGATAAGGTACTCGTTGAACTACCCACATCAAGCTCTAAATTACTTGTGAAGAGACAAGGTCCTTTTGAGGTCACATGGCGAGTCGGACAAGTCAACTATGAGGTCATGCGAACGGATTGAGATGATGCATGACGGATAGAGGCCCTGGTGACATGGACCTGGTCCTAGTTGGGACATGGAAATGGAAATAATCAAGGAGTCCCACACTAATTGGAGCAGCCTGGTGTCTTGGTGCACAAAGCCAGCGGGTCGGTCTGGGTTTGTGTGGACTATAGGAATGTCAATGTAGTTCGATGCGTACCCAATGCCATGCATCGATGAACTGCTCGATCGGTTAGGCGTGGCTTGCTTTTATTTGACACTGGACTTAACATATGGGTATTGGCAGATTACCTTGACTCCAATATCTCAAGAAAAAACAGACTTTTCCACTCCCTTTGGGTTACACCAATTTCTCACCCTTCCATTTGGGTTGTTTGAAGCCCCAGCAACATTTTAACATGTAATGGACAGAATGCACCATCCACACAATGCATATGCCACTGCTTATATAGATCATCATTTATAGTAATAATTGGCAGCAGCATTTACAACATCTGAGAGTTCTCCTGAAATCTTTGAGATGGGCAGGACTCTCAGCAAATCCTAAGAAATGTGCAATTGGTAGGATGGAAGTACAGTACCTGGGCTTCCACATGAGCCATGGGTAGGTGCGTCCCCAAATTGATAAGACGGCAGCGATTGCGGCCTGTCTGATGCTTAAGACTAAAAAGGGGTTGAGGCATCCTGGGGTATAATCGGTATAATTGGATAAAAATATCTCAAAAAGTGCAAATCGTGAAAAAAAAAAGTTTAGACGTCAATACTTGTCAAATATACAATGACACTGTTATTTCTGACAAACCTCTGTGTGCTAATACAGTTGTGCTCTTTAGGGGCTGAAAACGCTATATAGACAGTTTCAAAGCGCTACGAGCTTGGGAAAGAGGTTTTTCCAACACACGCACATGTGCACTTGCATTTGTGCACATTCGTGTACTTTTGGGCATTTGTGTTCATTTCAAAGACATGTTTAACATGTATAGAATGCAAAAGGACACGAAATTTTATTGTTTAATATTCAAAGGTATAACTGGATAAAAATATCTCAAAAAGTGTAAGTCATGAAAAAAATAAAAGTTTAGACATCAATACTTGTCAAATATACAATGACACTGTTATTTTTGACAACCCTCTGTGTGCTAATACAGTTGTGCTCTTTAGGCGCTGAAAACGCTATATAGACAGTTTCAAAGCGCTACGAGCTTGGAAAAGTAGTTTTTCTAACAAACTCATAGGTACACGAGCATGATGTCCATTTCAATGACATTTATTGCATGTTTTGGATGAAAAATGACACGAAATATAAATGTTTATTTTAAAATGCATGCTTTGATAATGACGTGTGAAAAAGTGTAGATCTTGAAAAAACATGTTTGGAACGTCAATACATGTCAAATCTACAGTGACACTGTTATTTTTGACAACCCTCTGTGTGCTAATACAGTTGTGCTCTTTAGGCGCTGAAAACGCTATATAGACAGTTTCAAAGCGCTACGAGCTTGGAAAAGTAGTTTTTCTAACAAACACATAGGTACACGAGCATGATGTCCATTTCAATGACATTTATTACATCTGCAATAACATACATATTACATAATACAATAAGGGGAAAAAAATTAGGTGATGGTATGGGTTTATTGGTATACTGACCGTTATAAGGATTGTTGAATTGAATGTTTTTTGTTTTAGGCAACTTGTACAGGGGAAGAAAATATGATGAAGAAACTTCAAAAGGAGATCTCAGAAATTAAAGAAAAAGTTTAAAACAACAAAAGCAGTGCACAGCAAAACACAGGAAAAGGCTCCAGCACATGCCAAACGGGCATGCCTCACCTCAAACTAAAGTGAAGAAGCTTCTCAGACAAACCTTGAGCTCAAATATAAGAAAACCTTTGTTTCACACTGCAGTAATTAAGAAAAATCCATAAAACAAATCCATAAAAGAAGAGAAAGGCAAAATAGAAAGGCAAAATATTTCAAAAATAATCAAAGGAAAAATCATACAAAAGTACACGTTACAACAATCTGCACAAGAATGCCCGAGCTTCTCAAAATGGAGGTGGTGTCATCGGTCTGAAGAAAATATTTGCATATATCGAAGGAAGAGACCAAACAGAATTGCTAGTGCCCTCAAAAGCAGGAGTGATTGTTTTTACCTCAATGATGACATAAGTAGATCAGTTACATATCAACAAGTTAGTATTGAGCCACAGGAACACTATCTCATGGGATGGCTGTGCAGATATAAGAGGTCAAAATAAAATTTAAACATAACATATGGAAGTAAGCAAACAGTTTGCCATTAATAGAAATATTATATTTCATTGGCAAAATATCGTTAGCCCACACAAGCTTCCCTTTTGTGAAAGATGATGATAATGGGCTTAATAGTATTATAATATTATATCATATGCAGTTACAGGAGGCATTTCCTGATTTATGGAAGAAGTGGGGTCCTATAATAATCATAATATCATGTTTTATTTTTATGTAAAAAATTTTATTTGTTCCAGTTTAGGCCCATCACTACATATTTAAAGGAGCCAAGCAACACACCACAAGAGCACAATGTAGGTATCTGATATGTATAACATTTCACAGTACAAAATGCTTCATCAGGCAGCACTCTCAGCATGTCTAATGGACCACACTGCCTTGCAAAAATCAACTCTGTGGTCATGTGACAACAGTCATATCCTGGTCTGGAGGACCATGCTGTTATGTGAGTTAGAAGGCCCTATTCAAACAGATTGAGAAGGAAAAACTTGCAGTTTCCTCCTAAACCTCTCATTTAGGTAACTGACACATTTATTTATTGTTTTGGAAGGGAGTCCTTGTGTATTTCTCTCTGGGCACCTAATGCACAGAGTTGTGTGAGCACATAGGTATTTACCAGACGCCCTTATCCAGAGCGACGTACATTTATCTTATTTACACAACTGAGCAGGTGAGGATTAAGGGCCTTGCTCAAGGGCCCAGCAGTGGCAGCTTGGCAGTGCTGGGGATTAAACTCATGACCTTCCGATCAGTAGCCCAACGTCCTATCCACTGAGCTACAACTGTCCCAATATTGTCCCCATGAATATTAGCTTTTGAAACATTAATTTTCGTGCTTTTGAAGATTTTATGTTTTATATTTATAGAAACAATCATGTTTGATATCATTTTTAATCAATCATGTGGAAAACACAACAATAATGCAGACATTTTTGCTTGAAAAGCCACTTTCCTCAAGCAGTATTGTCTTGAACCCCTCTGTATAGTGTTTTTCGCACCTACTGCACACAGCTATGTGAGCACATAGGTATTCACAGAGAATGCAGCATGTTAGAACGTGTTTGATGAATACTAATTTTCATAACATTACTTTTCATGTTTTTGACTTTTTAAGACTTTATTATCAAATTCGGCATTTGTATATAAATAGTCATGTTTGAAATTGTACAATCCGGTGTGTAAGGGTCCAGAAGAAGACTCGGAAGCAGGCGGAATTCTAGCATTGCTCTGAGCTCACATTTATTCAACCCTGCACTTTCCAGCACACTTTCAGAAACTCAATCAAAGAAAAACAAACCAACTGAAAAGGAACGCTCTGTTCAAGATCAAGTTTGAATGGTTGAACCGCCAGATACCAATTGTTGGACTCCTTCATGCGGTGGAGCCATTGGAACAAGGCGTGATAGGAACAGAGGGCAATCATGTTCCATCAAGCTCTCTGAATGGGAGCTTGAAGCTGGTGTACAGCATGGGGCGCTCCTCCTCCTCCAATACCTCGGAAAAAACGGCCCCCAACTGGCCGTTAGTCTGCAGAATAAAAGGGTGAGAAAAGTCAGCTGAATGCATCAAGGGCCCCCACAATAAAACTACTTTTACTTGGCAGAAAGGTCCCATGCCTGATTCTGTCCAGTGGACCGAATCTGGCTCTCCCTTTTTGTGAGGACAGTCAGTGTGCTGGTGACATATGAAAATGAAACACCTACAAACCTCCGATAGTAGCCAGCTAGCCCCAGGCTGCCTCAACCCGTTTTTGGTCTTAAGCATCAGACAGGCCGCAATCACTGCCGTCTTATCAATTTGGGGACGCACCTGCCCATGTCTCATGTGGAAGCCCATGTACTGTACTTCCACCCAACCAACTGCACATTTCTTAGGATTTGCTGTGCTTTCAGATGTTGTAAATGCTGCTGCCAATTATTACTATAAATGATGATGTCATCTAAATAAGCAGTGGCATATGCATTGTGTGGATGGTGCATTCTGTCCATTACACGTTAAAATGTTGCTGGGGCTTCAAACAACCCAAACGGAAGGGTGAGAAATTGGTATAACCCAAAGGGAGTGGAAAAGTCTATTTTTTCTTGAGATATTGGAGTCAAGGTAATCTGCCAATACTAATAATGTTAAGTCCAGTGTCAAATAAAAGCAAGCTATGCCTAACCAATCGAGCAGTTCATCGATGCATGGCATTGGGTATGCATCAAATTTTGGACACCACACTGACATTCCTATAGTCCACACAAACCCAGACCGACTCGCCGGCTTTGTGCACCAAGACCACGGGGCTGCTCCAATTAGTGTGGAACTCCTTGATTATTCCCATGTCCATGTCCCAACCAGGACCAGGTCCTCTATCCATCATGTATCATCTCAATCCGTTCGCATGATCTCATAGTTGACTTCTCCGACTCACCATGTGACCTCAAAGGGACCTTGTCTCTTCACAAGTAATTTAGAGCTTGATGTGGGTAGTACGAGTACCTTATCAAATTATGCATTTTTATATAAACAATCCTCTTTGGAATTGTAGAATCCGGTGTGTGAGGATGCAGAGGAAGACTCGGGAGGAAGCAGTTCATCAATGTGTGGCATTGGGTATGCATCAAATTTGGACACCGCCTTGACTTTCCTATAGTCCACATAAAAATAGACCAACCCTTTGGCTTTGGACACCTAGACTACTGGGCTGCTGCAATCACTGCGGGACGATCTCCCAGTGCAAATTCCCAGAGTCGGGTACCCCTGTTGTACAGCTGGAACTGTCGTTCTTGATCTTGATGCAAAAAGGTGTGGAATTTTGCTCTCAGGTCCGGAACATACTGAATTTCTTTTTTCCTGTTAGAAGGTCCCTCCTCACAGTTTTCCCTAATGATGTCTGAGACATCACAAGGCTTGAAGCTGTACAATAATTCAAATGGGGCAAATCTCGTGGAGGCTGGTGGGACCTCTTGTACTGCAAACAACAGAGGTATGAGTAACTTATACCAATTCTGAGCATCACCGTAACAAACTTACAGATCGCTCTGCAGATGGTAAACACTGGTGTCAATCAATTTAATCCCTAATAATTCATACAGTTCTCAAAGAGTGCATGACATAAAAGACGTCCTGGTCAGTCAGAATTTTTTTTTTGGGATCCCCACTCAGGAGATAACACAGAAGAGTGCCTCCGCAACAGTGAGTGCTGAGATGTTGCGAAGAGCCACGGCTTCTGGTTACTGCATTCCACATATCATTAAAGCTAATACAAAGCTCTGCCCTTCTGCAGTCTGTTCTAATGGCCCGATGAGGTCTATGCCAATTCTTTCTCTCTTGCTGTGGCATGCGGATTCAACAGCTGACATTTGCAAAATGCGCACACCACCTGTGAACATTGCAGTGAATTCTATCAGAGCTCTGGGCTCACTTTTATTCACACCATGTTTTCCAGCCCACTTAAAAAAGACTAATTCACAAAAACCAAACAAACAGAAAATGGTTTGTCACGTACTCCATTCAAATTCAGGTTCACACTCCTTGGCATTTTTGTGTGTGTGTGTAAGTGTGTTTAATGCTCTACCAGTTTGATCACTAACTCTCTCTCTCTGGTTATGGCCATCACTGAAAACACAAATAAACACAAAAAAGTAGACAGGCATAGTAGAAAAGACACAGGCAAGAATCATTAAGTGGTACCTGTCACTTCAACCCACCTCCTCAAGTTCAAGTTCAAGTTCAAGTGGAGTTCACTGACATTTCAGCCATATACAAGTACATAGTGAAACGAAACAACATTTCTCCTGGACCAAGGTGCTACATAAGATGACACAGAACAACACAAAACTACAAGGGACTACATAATTTATACATAAAGTGCACAAGTGCAAACATGTGCAGACAGCACAAGACAGTACAATGACTACAGCGCCAACCAGTACACAGTTCTGTTTAAAAGTGAACCTAGTGACAATAGTGCAAAGAGTACAAGAGTACAATACAAGTAGCAGAAATAGTGTAAACATAAGTGTAAACGTAAGAGTAGGAGCCTATGTACAATATAATATAATGAGTATTGTAGCAGCATAAACGTGCAACAATTCTCCATCCGAAGCCAATGCTCGAACCACACCCCCGCTGTATGCATTTGTTTACAAAACCACACTCTCTTTAGTGTTTTTAGTGCGTACTGCACACAGTTGTGTGAGGTGTAGGGATTATTGAGAAAGCAGTATGTTAAAGTATATTTCATGAATGCAAGCTTTCTAAATATACTGGGCTGCTGCAATCACTGCGGGATGCCTCAATTTTCTCTCATGTCCATGTCCCAACCACCATCAAAAGGATCAAAAGACTGTCTTCACGAATTCAAGAGACTGAGGTGGTATATTTGAAGTACATTACCTCTACCTGTTCACCTGACCTCATTGTTGACTTCTCTGACTCGCCATGCGACCTCAAAGGGCCCTTGCCACTTCTTGAGTAATTTAGATATTGATGAGGGTAGTAAAACAAGTGCCTTATCTTATAGTGCAAATTCCCATAGCTGAGTACCCCTGTCAGACAGTTGGGACTGTCATTCTTGGGCCTGATGCAAATTCTCCTGTGTTAGCTGACTTAATATGTGGAGTTTTGCTGTCAGGTCCAGAACATATTGAATTTTGTTTTTTAGAAGGTTCATCCTAACAATTTTCCCTAATGATGTCTAAAGTGCCACAAGACATGCGCCCACACAATAATTTGCATGGAAAAAAGTCAGGGAGGCTTGTGGGATCTCTTGTACTACAAACAACAAAGGTTGGAGCCACATATCCCAATTAAGAGCAGCATTTTGAAAGAACTTATGAATCATATATCATTTTAAACATTTGATTAAGCCGTTCAACCAGCCCATTCTTCAGTGGATGGTAAAAACTTGTGCGATCAATTTAATCCCTAATAATTCATAGACTTTGCAAAGAGTGAGTGACATAAAGGATGTGCCCTGGTCACTCAGGATCTCTGCACCACCTGCAAACATTGCCGTGAATGCCTGGCCAATAGAAATGGGCCATGAGACAGTTTTATCCTGCCCCGAATGCCCAGCCATGGAATTATGATGGGCTGCATGTTACAGGAGTTCCCTATGGCTCTTTGATAGCAACAATTGTGTTGCCTCTTCCTTGATTTGTTTCCTGCGTCACTCAATATAACCTATCCTTAATAACTGAAAAGTATGGGTGGGATAGCGCAACTTTAGGTTGGATTAGTTGACCATCAGCTACTCTCACTTGGCCAAAGGCGTGCCTCAGTGACTTGTCACGTGACTGCTCGAAAGGGAAATCCCTGACAGCAATCTCCACCAAGAGTAGAGGGGCAGAACCCTCCTTGTCCCCCCTGATGCAGAGCTGATGTTGACAAGCTGACATCGATGGCCCCGGTTACTGCTTCCCCAGGCAAGGCTACACCAGGGTTTGGTGCATGGGCCAGGGTTTCAGGCATTAGAAAGAGAACTATTTGTGGATGGGCCCTGCAGTAGTGAGACATTTACATTTACGGCATTATCCAGAGTGACTTACAAAAGTGCTTTTAAGTCTATCAAAAATATATTCTGATACTGGCTCACTAGGTCACAAACTAGGAATATCATCAGTCCAAAACTCTGTTGGAGAGGTAATAGACAAGTGTTCAGACAATAAATTTTTTTTTGGTTTTGTAAGTGCTAACTTAAATATTTTAAAAAGAGGTAAGTCTTTAGACGTCGTTTGAAGACTGCCAGTGACTCAGCTGTTCGGACATCTAGGGGAAGTTCATTCCACCACCTCAGTGCCA